TATAGCCTTGGTAGGAAAAATTATAAGAGCTAAAAGCACTGCCTGATGGGTGAGAGATATGAAACATATATTTAATATTTGTAATTCTCGTATAGCTGATGATAACCTCGCTGAACACACGCAGTTGACTTCCTCATATACACACTATTTACATTATCCGCTTCAATACTCTTAGGGTCCTGAGTAATTAAATACTTTATAAGGGTGATTCAGCAAAGAGTACATTAAATTGGAGGATGAAATCTTTGGATAATTCTAGCCCACAACGTCTCTGTGATAAAATGTCACTTTCTGCATAGTTTCCATGTTACAATACATTGAAGCTGTTGTATTAATGAGAGTGAATTTGATGTGAAACCACCGAAAGGGTTTTGTATTAATTTATTCTTAGATGTCTTATATACAGCAGTACAGTATTATACAGATGGGTGACACAGGTGCAATGAAATAGGGACCATGACGACCGAATGAGATAAAGTCATTTACAGGGGGGAGGGGTTTTCACTTCAAATTCACTCTCATTAACACATCTTAAATGTATTGTAACATGGAAACTATGCAAACCGGTCATTTTACCATAGAGAAATTATGGTGTAGAATTATCCATGGATTTCATCCTCCAATTTAATGTACTCTTTGCTCAACCACATTGTACTGTATATAGTACAGAGGTTTAAGTTTTCATTCAACTTGTATTAGGAATATTCATTCTATTCACAGCTTAGTTCATCTAAATCGTTATTGTCGAAACCTCACTGATCATATTGATATAAATTCTTTTAGATCAATAATCTTATATAATAAGGACATTTCAACATTACTCTCTTCATTGTTTTATGCAGAATAAGCTTTAATTAAAGAAACACACTACACAGTGTGCAATGAACCAGGCGGGAAATACTTGTGGCATTTTATACCAGAAGAAGCTACAGAGGAGAGAAGTCATGCTGAGGTCATTGTTGATCATTTAGTGAACTGGCTAAAAGAGAGAGGAGCAGACCAGATCCTTTTGGCCTTAGGAGGTGATAGCACGAATGTGAATACTGGCTGGGAGGCAGGAGTAATGCATTATGTGGAGGCCAAGCTCGGCAGGAAGTTGGTGTGGATTGTCTGTGACTTGCACACACGGGAGTTGAGTCTCAGACACCTAGTGACTGTACTGGATGAAGAGACATTGAGCAACAACAGGAGGTCGGGCCCCTAGGGAAGGTGTTAGACACTGCCATTGAACTGGAGATCAACCCAAACTTCACGAGGATCACTGTTGGTCCTCCTCTACCCAATCTCGCTCAGGAGGTAGTCAAGGATCTCAGCACAGACCAAACATATGGCTACAGAATCATCACTGCCATCAGATCAGGAGAGGTAACTCAGAGTCTAGCTCTCTTGGAGATTGGGCCAGTCTGTCACAGTAGGTGGCTCACCACTGCTCTAAGGTTCTGCAAATTGTGGATTTCCAAACATGAGCTGAAGGGCTGAAACATCTGAGGATAATTGTGGAATTCATAGTTAAATCAGAGCTGGGTGGAGGGTCCCAAGCATGTACTGTGACAGCTGAAACTGCTCAAAGGGTCCGACGAAGGATGTGGTAGGAATAGTGATGCCTACAGTAAAGATATCAGCATGGTATGCACACTCTGAGGAGGAGAGGAGGAAAGCTGTGAAAAGGATACTGGAAATCAGAGGTGAAGGAGATAAGGACACACAAGTAGGAGAATGCAGTGTCAGATCCAAGAGGACTCCTGACGTTAACCCATAATACACCAAACTCTCGGAGCTTACTGAATGGAACTCTGGAGTAACCGAGCCTCCACTGACTTGTTCCCTCACCACTGCTGCAATCATGGAGTTTCTGGATAGACCAATGGAAGTTCCTGCATGGCCCTCACACACACAGTCAGTAGAGAGGTGTGTGAGGATGACAACTGAAGCAGCACAAAATGTTTACTGAAAGGAGAGGAGAGAGGCGTACACCAGGGGCCAGGTAGCCTGTAGGGAACTCATGTCCATAAACAAGAACAAGGAAGACATGACCACCTTGGTAAAGTTCTTAAAACCTTTCTGGTAACCTGACTCTCTCATAAAATGTCGTTATATAGAATACAAATATGCAAAAATTGCAAGTTTTTCGTGAATTTCTACTCAAAATATAAATAGCTCGGGGTGGTCAAATCCAGATTTTGAAGCCATATTTCGATTTAGCATACACAAATGTACAATTTATTTACTAGTTGTCTTTCAAACTCTAAACTTATTACTTTGCACACCTAAATTGACACCCCTAAAATGAGGTGAACAACAAATTAATTATCTACAGTTGAAACAAATTAGTACCAAATATATAAAAAAAAAAGCTGATCAACTGTTAATCCACAATAAGACATCAATTCCGAAGATAGTGGTTTGGTAGATTTGATCGGCATCCATTACAACAGTTATGTTTTTATCTTAAACATGAGACACATAATTTATACGAAGGAGTCCGTTTCACAATTAGCCTGACATTGGTCTTATGACACGATTTTACAATAACTGTGACAAGCACTCCACTTCTTGTATTTTAATGCCGTACAGTTAATTGGAATTATTCAAACACATACATTAAAAATCTTTGCATTTAAGTTTTACTAGGCTGCTTCTGAGGATTGTTAAGATATTCACTAGCTTACTCAGTATGAGATGTTTAAGGGGGTGTCAGTATATGATGCAGCGGAGGAATCACTAGTAATAACAAAAAGCAACAGCACAAATGTGAAGTAGAAAATTATTAAATATAAAAAATATACCCTTTCCCCTTAAGTAAGCATAAGAACTCATTGATTCTCTATAAAAGTGCAACTCCAAAATAGAAATCACTCAATCACAAATCACACATATGAACATCCTCATGAGTGAAGCGATACAAGATGCTTCAAATGCTAAAAAGAAATATGACCGATTTCGTTCAAGGAGTGTGATGGATGTCATTAAGCTCCTCATGTATTATCTTTTCTCTGGCCTCCTCAGCAAGTTGTTAAATGGTGGCCAAGTCCCCTGGTCACTAACAGGGTCAAGGTCTCTGTTGCATTCCTTCTTACATTTTACGTCACGACAAGATGGGCGGAGCCTCCGGTATATAAACCTGGCGCTTCCATCAGTGGACACCAGTCTAGTTCTTCCCTCACACCTCAACATGGTTCTTAAGGTAAACAAATGGGGATGATGTATATTGCTGTGATCACTGTGCTTTGAAAAAAAAAACTTGAGGTCCTATTTTGCTTTGAATTACGTTATGATTCGGTGGTTTTCAGGTTTTCGTCATCGCTGTCCTTGTGGCCGTCACTATCGCTGACACTATCCCCTACACCCCTCCACATCCCTCCTACAACGCTCCTGCCCCTACTGTAAGTTGTTGCGTGTGTTTATATCTTATGACTGAATCATATTTTCTCTACGATTTTTATTTTTCAATATAATTATGATAAAAAGAAACTATATAATCCGTTAAATTGTCCTTGTCCTTAAGTTACGATATTTTTTATTTATTTCCATGAGATGCTACAATTATAACTTGACTTGTGTATCATTTTGACTTCCAGGGTCCTGCCCAGTACAACTTTGACTGGTCAGTGAACGACGCAAACTCCGGCAACGACTACGGCCACAACGAAGGTCGTAATGGATACGATACTCAGGGATCCTATTATGTTCAGCTTCCCGACGGTTCCCGACGGTCGTTTGCAGAGGGTTACCTACACCGTGAACGGTGACTCCGGCTACGTTGCTCAAATCGAATACGAGGGTGAGGCCCAGTACTCTCAGCCTAACCCCGCCCCAGTTATCAGCTGGCGCCTGCCTATAGGCCTGCCCTACCTACTCCCCGCCCACCCCAAGCTATAATTAACATAAAGACGGACTTATAAAAGAGCGCTGCTTTCTAATGCAAACGTTGGATTATGTGTAAACTATTAGACAAATAAAATGATCAAATAAATACCCTGTCTTAAAAAATATTGCGGAAATAAAGAAAATGAAAGTAACAAATAAATACAATGGTCAAGAGAAACTCTATATATATATATATATATATATATATATATATATATATATATATATATATATATATATATATATATATATATATACAATACTATATATATATATATATATATATATATATATATATATATATATATATATATATATATATATATATATATATATATATATATAACCGGTCGGAAATACGGGACTTTATTTTCTCACTTGACTTGGGGTTTATTAAAGATTATAAGATGGTAATGGCAGTGGAAGCGTCCCTTGAGAAAAATCCCGAACCAGCACAAGAACACTTAAATCTACTAAACAAAATGAATTGTCCGTGACCCGTGGAAGGATAGCGTCTGTGACTGGGATGAATGAGACACACTGTAAAATTTAGACACTTATATTCCCTCCAACACTACAAACACAACCAAATAATGGTACACCAATATGCGCACCTCTTAACTTGAACTTAAAACACTACTCTGGGGAATAAAAGTTATACATGATATAGAAATTATTAGAAACTCAGGCAACAATAAATTTGAAGTATTAAGAAATGTTGCTTGCAAACATGAAACAGGCCTTAAGGGCTTTCACAAAATAATATCAGTCACTTAGGAAATGGTATTAAAAAATAAGAAATTAAATACTCTACACTGAATAGGCCTTAAGGGCTTTCAACAAAATAATATCAGTCACTGAGGAAATGGTAATAAAAAATAAAAAATTAAATACTCTACACTGAATAGGCCTTAAGGGCTTTCAACAAAATAATATCAGTCACTGAGGAAATGGTAATAAAAAATAAGAAATTAAATACCCTACAATGAATAGGCCTTAAGGGCACTCAACAAAATTATATCACCCCAACAGATGCACACTTCCTAACCTAACTTAACCACTACTGTGGGGAACAAAGGTTATACCTGAGATCAGAATTATGAAGAAAAATTAGATGCATTAAAAGAATCAAATCACAGTATCACTCTGGTTCCACTTAATGACACAAACATTAAAAAAACAATACTATCAAAATTATTTAAGAAATATTGAACTACACACGCCAAGATAATATCAGTAACTGAGAAATGGTATTAACTACCCCCAAATATATTCACTATTATTAATATGTTACTGGGTCCACCATTACTCGTGAACCATGCTCCACCCAACTCAACATACACCCGTAATAAGGGAGATAAAATGTTCCTACTAGGTATCTCCTAGAGTCCTAGACTCATGGTCTCAGTGTGTGACCATTAATTTACTCAGATAACCTCAGTGTACTATCAGTGCGTCCATAAAGCGGAAGGGAGTGAGCCAGTCAGACCTTGTACAGTTGAGAGAAGCTTTAGCTTCCCGTTAGCAAGAGGGTTTCACTAAGCTGCTCGAGACATGTGGTGTTGTCAGCCGAGGTAGAGGAAAGCTGATGCCCCAACGATCGTCCCGTCGTCAGCTGGGCATCCAGACGGCTAGATTCCCTCAAGCGATCCTTTGATACCCCGCTAAACAGTGACAGGCCTACACTGATCGGTCCAATGGCGACAATCGCCACCCTCAATCATCAACGGCAGTCTCAAACGGCAGTCAATCTCTCGCAGTCAAACTCCGGTCAACTCCGGTCAAGTGGGTTCTGGCGGAAACCCTGAAATGAACTCACTGTTAGCTCTAGTTTACTTTACCACTGCCCTATCTAACCCTGTCTGAGATCGAATGAGACTTACTTGTTATACTGCAATAGTGCAACACAGGTGACTAGGCCACGTGACTATTTCTGTGACGAACGCGCAGGGACGTCTTGTTTGTCTGAATGCTTCTCCGTGACTGAGGACCAGCCAGCGTCGCGTCCTCTCAAGGCGTTAGCTTAGGCCTACGTGACATATTTTCCGCCTAACTAATAACTCCTTGGGACACCCGTAACATTATTCAGACTGATAAACGATCTATAATAATTTCAAATTCAATAATAGTCCCTTAACTTCATGAATCGCATCATCATTATTAATTCGGCAAATTACATTTAATATCACTTAGGCCTAGTTCCATAACCTCTCTCTATGGGCGGGGAGCGCTCTCTTCCCTCAGACGACCTTGAACGCTCAGTATCGCTAATGGCGGGGCATTGGAAATTTCTGAATATTACATATATATATATATATATATATATATATATATATATATATATATATATATATATATATATATATATATATATATATATATATATATATATATATATATATATATATATGTATATATATATATATATGAAAAATATTAGACGTATTATAGCCTTGGTAGGAAAAATTATAAGAGCTAAAAGCACTGCCTGATGGATGAGAGATATGAAACATATATTTATTATTTGTAATTCTCGTATAGCTGATGATAACCTCGCTGAACACACGCAGTTGACTTCCTCATATACACACTATTTACATTATCCGCTTCAATACTCTTAGGGTCCTGAGTAATTAAATACTTTATAAGGGTGATTCAGCAAAGAGTACATTAAATTGGAGGATGAAATCCTTGGATAATTCTAACCCACAAAGTCTCTGTGATAAAATGTCAGTTTCTGCATAGTTTCCATGTTACAATACATTGAAGCTGTTGTATTAATGAGAGTGAATTTGATGTGAAACCACCAAAAGGTTTTTGTATTAATATATTCTTAGATGTCTTATATACAGCAGTACAGTATTATACAGATGGCTGACACAGGTGCAATGAAATAGGGACCGTGACGACCGAATGAGATAAAGTCATTTACAGGGGGGAGGGGGTTTCACTTCAAATTCACTCTCATTAATACATCTTAAATGTATTGTAACATGGAAACTATGCAAACCGGACATTTTACCATAGAGAAATTATGGTGTAGAATTATCCATGGATTTCATCCTCCAATTTAATGTACTCTTTGCTCATCCACACTGTACTGTATATAGTTCAGAGGTTTAAGTTTTCATTCAACTTGTATTAGGAATATTCATTCTATTCACAGCTTAGTTCATCTAAATCGTTATTGTCGAAACCTCACTGATCATATTGATATAAATTCTTTTAGATCTATAATCTTAGATAATAAGGACATTTCAACATTACTCTCTTCATTGTTTTATGCAGAATAAGCTTTAATTAAAGAAACACACTACACAGTGTGCAATGAACCAGGCGGGAAATACTTCTGGCATTTTATACCAGAGGAAGCTACAGAGGAGAGAAGTCATGCTGAGGTCATTGTTGATCATTTAGTGAACTGGCTAAAAGAGAGAGGAGCAGACCAGATCCTTTTGGCCATAGGAGGTGATAGCACGAATGTGAATACTGGCTGGGAGGGAGGAGTAATGCATTATGTGGAGGCCAAGCTCGGCAGGAAGTTGGTGTGGATTGTCTGTGACTTGCACACAGGGGAGTTGAGTCTCAGACACCTAGTGACTGTACTGGATGAAGAGAAATTGAGCAACAACAGGAGGTCGGGCCCCTAGGGAAGGTGTTAGACACTGCCATTGAACTGGAGATCAACCCAAACTTCACGAGGATCACTGTTGGTCCTCCTCTACCCAATCTCGCTCAGGAGGTAGTCAAGGATCTCAGCACATACCAAACATATGGCTACAGAATCATCACTGCCATCAGATCAGGAGAGGTAACTCAGAGTCTAGCTCTCTTGGAGATTGGGCCAGTCTGTCACAGTAGGTGGCTCAGACCTGCTCTAAGGTTCTGCAAATGGTGGATTTCCAAACATGAGCTAAAGGGCTGAAACATCTGAGGATAATTGTGGAATTCATAGTTAAATCAGAGCTGGGTGGAGGGTCCCAAGCATGTACTGTGCCAGCTGAAACTGCTCAAAGGGTCCGACGAAGGATGTGGTAGGAATAGTGATGCCTAGAGTAAAGATATCAGAATGGTATGCACACTCTGAGGAGGAGAGGAGGAAAGCTGTGAAAAGGATACTGGAAATCAGAGGTGAAGGAGATAAGGACACACAAGTAGGAGAATGCAGTGTCAGATCCAGGAGGACTCCTGACGTTAACCCATAATACACCAAACTCTCGGAGTTTATTGAATGGAACTCTGGAGTAACCGAGCCTCCACTAACTTGTTCCCTCACCACTGCTGCAATCATGGAGTTTCTGGATAGACCAATGGAAGTTCCTGAATGGCCCTCACACACACAGTCAGTAGAGAGGTGTGTGAGGATGACAACTGAAGCAGCACAACATGTTTACTGAAAGGAGAGGAGAGAAGCGTACATCAGGGGCCAGGTAGCCTGTAGGGAACTCATGTCCATAAACAGGAACAAGGAAGACATGACCACCTTGGTAAAGTTCTAAAAACCTTTCTGGTAACCTGACTCTCTCATAAAATGTCGTTATATACAATACAAATATGCAAAAATTGCAAGTTTTCGTGAATTTCTACTCAAAATATAAATAGCTCGGGGTGGTCAAATCCGGATTTTGAAGCCATATTTCGATTTAGCATACACAACTGTATAATTTATTTACTAGTTGTATTTCAAACTCTAAACTTATTACTTTGCACACCTAAATTGACACCCCTAAAATGAGGTGAACAACAAATTAATTATCTACAGTTGAAACAAAATAGTACCAGATATAAAAAAAAAAGCTGATCAACTGTTTATCCACAAAAAGACATCAATTCCGAAGATAGTGGTTTGGTAGGTTTGATTGGCATCCATTACAACAGTTAT